TCTCTCTCTCTCTCTCTCTCTCTCTCTCTCTCTCTCTCCTCCTCCTCCTTTCCGAGCACGATAGCGTCCCGGGTACGGGCGTTGTCTCACCGTCTGAAGTTAATACACTACACAAACAAGTCCCGATAAGTACGCGGAGTACGGCCGACAAACAAAGTTAATCAACAATTGCCACAATTGTAAGACTCCAAAGGGCCGGGTGGACAACCAGAATTGCGTTCAACATGTATGTCGAATCTTTGTGCGAGTACAACCTACACGGGTACACTCTGAACATGCACATTCCACCCAGGAACAAGCACGCGCCAACCTCGGGAGAAACGTGTACAATCTTCGCGTGGGGCGGTAACGCAACAACTGGCCGTGCAACGTCACATTGACCGCCTCACTTTTGGAAAGGACGCTGATCATATGCTCGGCGCACCAAACCCACCTTATTCTGGCCTTTTGTATCACAGAGGCATCCTTTCATAGTTGAATATTGGCTGGTGCCCTCGGTTTCCTGATAAACACCGTCACCTTAGCGCGCAGGTCCTGTCCTTTTCCGGCAAGCAGTACGTTGCTTGGTGTGAGGTGCCGGTGCGGTACCCCGTTACGGTGCAGATGTCTCATGCCACGGGCGATGTCGAGCATGATTCGTTGCCTGGTTTTCGGTTCCAGAGGTGGCTCTTTGTGCAGACGATTCCTCAGGTCCCCTGCTTGCAGATACTTTATGACCAGCACGAGCTTGTCGGGCATGATCAGCCCATACACATGGACGACGTAATGGGATGAAATGTGACCCAAGTAGGCTCGGCTACAAGCGTCGTAGCGGCAGGATCAAAACGCCGCCGTTGAACGCCGAAAGGCTTGCTCGCATTCGTCGGTTTCTTGTTGAGATGGTCATGGCAAAGAGGGCAGAGGATGCTGGGTTAGCAGTGATCGTGTACATGGATGAGAGTTTTGTCCACCAGGCTCATGGTTCCCCCTATTCTTACTTTCCTTCGGACAAGAATGGAGTTGTGCAGGATGGGATTGGTCGCACAACGGAGAAGGGCTTGCGCATGATCATGGTGCATGCAATCACGAAGTGGGAGCCGTTGGCTAAGTTTTGTGATGGTTTACCGATCGAAGAGGGCTGGTTCAAGGAAACGGGTAGCGGCACGAAGGAAATGAAAGATGAGGAGACAGCAGAGTTTCTGTGGCAGGCTAAGTTGGCAAAGGGCGATTACCACGCAGCAATGACCGACTCGATGTTCATGGAGTGGCTTGAACACCGCCTTAGTCCAGCGTACAACGCGATCCCTGAGTTCAAAGGCAGGCAGATGATTCTTGTTCTTGACAACGCCTCATACCACCATGGATTTGACGCGGAAGTCAAAGTGCCGGAAACCAACACCAAGAAGCACAACGTCGATCTGTTGCGTATGTTTGGGGCCAAGTCGATCAGGGTTAGGCGTAAGGAGGGCGAACAGGGCGTTGTTGAGT